CATAACTATAGGTGCCTCCTTCTCCATCCTTTATAGTATAGGGTTCCTTTTTATTTTTCTATAATAGCCTTAGTTTATTAACCGTTTTAGGGGAAATAAAATTCATATCAGCTCCGCTATCTACAAATACATTTAGCCACTTATCCTTAATTCTGATTTTTAATTCTAGGCAGGTTCATTAACTTCCTTTTATAGTCATTCTTAGAGCTTTTTCTAGGAGTTTATTTTCCTCTGCTCTTTTGCCTATCTGCCGCTCTATTACAGATAGCATATGCCTTTTCCCCATAGGTAGTCTATATTATATTTACTTCTGGTGCAGTTAATATTATTAGGATATTTATATTAGGTGGCGAGTTGTTGTTGGTATGCAGCTTTTATTTTTTCTACTTCGTGGTCTAGGATAATATCTGCTTTTTCTTCTTTAGTAAGGGGTCTTCCTCTTTCTTATTCTGATTCTTCTAAGCGTTCTTGTAGTTATTACTTATCTAGCTATCGGATGATATCTTATTTATCTCGAGATACTTCTTCTTCCTATTAGGTAATATCTTAGTTAATTTGGTCGAGTTCCTGGTTAAGTGCTTTATCCTCGGCGATCTTAACTTCTTATTGTACTTTTTGTCTCTACTAGGTGATATATTGGGAATTCTAGATATATACTAGAGCTCGTTCTTATATTTTAGTATATGCTTTTAGTTTTATTACTTAAGATCCTCTATATCTCTTTGTAACTTAATATCTAATAGTATTAATAATTATATAAGGTTTTTATTCTTAATGCTTATTAGTTTATACTAGGAAGTAATCGTTTACTGTTTTATCTTGCCAGTGTCGTAGGCAGTAGTATTATATATATAATATCTATAATATCTGCTGGTGGTTTAGGTGGTTTAGGTATCTCCTTAGATCTTTTTTAATCTAAATATGTTCTTTAGGTGTTATAGAGTCTTCTATTACTTCCTTTATATATGCTTAGATATAGATATCGTTATCTTATTCTATAATTGCATATTCTCTTGCAAGTTCTATATATTTCTGATATTTATTATTCTAGAAATGGACTCCGTGTTTATCGTATTAGGGTATAATTTCCGCGTTCTAGACTATTTTATTTTCCTTGTATCTAATACGTCTAGAGTCAAATTCTCTCTAGACTCGGCAGGATTCCAGATAGTTTAGATCATTAGTATATTAGTTTAGTTATTTCGGGGTAACTTTAACAGGGATTTTATTTACTACTAAGTAGGATCTTTGGTTATTTCTTATAGTACTTAGTTCATTATCTAGGTTAGGGTTAATTTCTTTTCCCTTTTTAACTATAAAAATAGATTTTCCTTCGACGATATATTATATTTCTGGTTCAGGTACTAGCACCTATTTGAGTTCGACTTCTGCATCTTATTTTGCCTTTAGTCTTTATTATTTTTATTATTTACTTTCTTTTCTTCTGAATTCAGGATCTTCTTATCTTTTCGTATTATATACTCTTTTCTTAGCTTGTTTTTCGTTTTTGCTTTATATATAGGTTATTACTACGAGAGCTAGGTATCCTAAGATAGGTCATTATTCTGGTTCCAGATATAGGTAGTATCTCTTAAGGGTTTCTTCCTTGCCAAGGAATAGATCTTAAATATTAAGAGATAGGTCAAAGTTCCTAATGTATTTCATTGGTTTAGTTATATTATAACCGTCTTTGCAGGTCATATTAATAGTTCTAATTACCATTTGGGGTTCTTCGTGTTTCTTAACTATGCTAATCTTCTTATTTTCTAGGACTAGTCTATACTTCTGGTTAGTCTTAACGGGGTTCTTACATTCTAAATCGTAATATCCTTTCTTGCCGCAGTTCCAGCAAGTGATTTTAGATTTATCTTTCTTAGTCATTCCGATAGTTATTAGTCCAGAGTCAGTGCCGTAAGAAGTATCGTTATTTTATTTCTTTCCCTGGTTAGCATTATAGCATGGCTTATTTCCTTGTTTTCCCTGGTTATTTCAGTTATAGCAGATTCTCCATTAAAACTATATATCGTCGATCTTAACTGCTTATCCTATGTAGTCGACCAGTGTCTTAGGTCTTATTTCCTTATAAAGTTCCGCTTAGACTGATTCTTTGAGTCCATCAAAGAAGAGTGACATTAGTGGTTCTTGGTCCTATCCTAGCTTGGTGGCTAGTTAGAGGAACTCCGTTCCATACTCCGAGGCTGACTTATTCTGCCTAAGTGTTTTGATTTTTCGTTCTGCCTGGCTTTTCTTATTAACTAATCCGAAGGCTTATCGTAGGGCTTCCTCGAAAGCTATATAACTTTTATGGATCTGAAAGGTTCATAGTAGCAGTTCATATTCTAGTTTAGTGGTTATATCTTCCAACATAGGTTAAAACCACTAGGCTGCGTTGCCTTTAAGTCGTCCTGAGGCATACATAACTCGATTGCCATCTTCGTTAAACTGGTTCGGAAAGTAGCTCATAAAGGCTCAGCACTGAGTAAGAAATATAGCTAGTTTTGCTGGGTTTCCATTAAATAGTTCAGGTGCATTAGGTTTAAGGATTTCTCCCGCTTCTTTTCTATTTGCAGCAGTAGCGGCGAGCTGACGCATTTCCTAAATCGCATTCTAGTAGTTAGTGGCCTGCTAGGCTTAGAGAGCTGCAGCTTTAGCTAGGGCTTATCTAAGGTTATCTATTTCGGTTATTATATCAGTTATCTGCTGACGAAGCTAGGCGACATCAGAGTCAGTGCTACTCTCAGAATTATTATCCATATCCTAATCATTATTAACAGGTGCTAGAGCAGCATAGGGTACAGCATGTTACTAGATAGGGTTAACATAGGCAGCCATTACGTTTATATTACTCAGCATTACGCGGTATAGTCTGAATAAGAGCTATTAACATGTAACAGTTAGTTTCTAATTATAGATAAACTAAGCTATGCTAAGTTTATTATTAGCAGATAGCATAAGGCGTAATGCTAAGCTTATCGAAGTATTACGTCTCTTAATAGTAGATTCAATGCGTGTTAGGCTTAATCAATATAAAGAAGTTTTATTAATAGCTAGTGAGCTAGAGTCTATGAAAGTGCTAATGAATGTAGTCTATATACTAGAAGTGATCTGAGAGGATCACTGGTGTAGTTAGATCACGGTGATCCTGGATCACGGTAGTTCCTGGAGCATCGTAATCCTGCTTGTGAGGTGATCCAGCCCTGATTGGTCCGTGACCATTAAGGGGCTGATGCCTTGCATAAGTTTTTTGTGGGGGGGACACGTGACGTAACCGCTAGGGTCATAACAGTTAGCTACTAAATCCGATGCTGAATATAAAACAAAGCTTATTATACCCTATTTATTAATACTCCTTTTATATATATCCTCTTAAAAAGGCAACTTATAATAATTTAACATTATAAGAGAATATTAACCACATCCATATATTAAGGTAGTACCTTATGTAAAAATACCTCCTTCTGTTCTGCTATGGACACTATGTACTAAGCTATTTGTGATCGAAGGTTATTATCAGGAGGAGAGTTTGCATCTTTGACTAATAATCCTGCAGAGTATTTCTCGACCCTTAATGGCATTATCACTGCACTTAGGAGCAAGCTCAGAGGGCAAAAGTAGGCTTCTAGCCAGTTAGTTTCAGTATTAACCTGGCGTAACAACTAGGCCTTGCATAATAAACCCAGGAACTAGGATTCCCTTAAAAACCACAGGCCGCTAACATTACCTGCAACCTCCTCTGCTAAGAGGCGATAAATGGCGGTTCCCGGGTGATAATTATTCCACCATAGGTAGCTCCGCGCATTGGGATTTTCGTAGCTTAAATAAGGAGCACTATATATAGCCGCGTTATTAAGAGCCTTTAAGTAAGCCTTTTTAGAATTAATAAACCACACGCAGGCCTATTTATATTAAGATATAAAAGATTTTAGCCCTTTGCTTAAGTAATAGTCATAGAGCTTAATAGCACTTTTTAGCTTGGCTTAGTATATTAGGCCTTTAGAAATCATAAGTGGCGTCTAGTATTGCGCTGCGATAGAAACATTAGCTGAAATCCTTATAGGCGTAATAGAAATAAAACTTATGGCCAGCTGATAGGATAACGAAGTTCCCTGCCCTAAGTATATATAACTTCTAAAGCTACTCTATGTATTTAGCCGACGTTTAAAGGTATAGTAACTTCTTATTATTTTAAGCAAAAGAATTACTAACATCGTTGTTCCCTAGCCACATGCCAACTAGCAAATTCTCAGAAACCCACGGCGGATTAGTGGCAAACTATAGGCGGAGTTCATCGACCTAATTAATAAAACCTTTAACTGTATTCGAGTAAGGGGGGATTAAGGCTGAATCGGTAGTGGCACCGCCAACAGCGAGGTTGTGCAAATAGGTGGTGCTGGCGTTGAACTCAAATATTCTTTCTCTCGGTACTAGGAGGCACTAAGAGTAAGCCAGCTAACAGGTTTTGCTCCGTCTCTGTTTCTGCGGAAATTAAGTAATAAAGCACAGTTATTAAGAAGTATATCTTCTCATAGCTCAGAATTACATCATTGTCTAACTATATGATATAGCCAAGACTTATTGTGTTATCTTTTATAGCTTTGCCGTATATGCAAAATTTCAGTGACTAGCTTATCGTCCACCTTAAATTCTTAGTCCTAAACCTATCTTACATTTCTACTGATTTCATAGGCTAAGAATTCGGCTTTCATCGACCCGTAGCCTGTTACCTAAGCACTCACAAGGCCCTGATAAATATCAACGATTTGCAGGATGCTTTATATGTTGTTTGGGGGTTCAACCATGTGGAGACTTCATGCCCTTGGGATAGCCACAATACGTACTTCAACCACTTAACACAAGGCAATTGGAAATGTAGATGATACGTGCATACCAAGGTAGAGACTCTAATAAAACCACCAGATACGGTCAGTTCGTAGAAGCGGTTTATTAAAAAGTGTCTGACGTGGCAGAACCTTAACATGGCTTAGCCGCATGTATCAAGTTCAAGCTACAGGGACCGCGAGATTCTGAAGCATAGGAATGCCCATCGCGTAGAGATCCTTGCCCTCATCATCAATAAATACCGTACTGAAGGATCTTCGCTGATCATCAACATCTGTCTCGACCTCAAAGGCCAGCGAAATATGGCGCGCGCCCTCATGCTCTGAGATATAATCGCCATTTTCGAAGTGTACAACTTGAGGATGATCGCCATTTTCCTTGAGAATATTGATTTCGGCGCTCTTGGCGGGTCGATGACGAAGAGAACACCTCCAGGCTCGGCTCTGACCATGACAGTGTAGGCTCCCGTCTCATCTTGAGCTCTGGTTGTCGCTTCATGAAGTTATGAGCCCAGCGCTTACCGATAGGTGGCGCATGGCGGTCAGCTAGTAGGGAATTAGCCATTTCTTTAACAAAACGCAATCACGAGGGAAATCCTCGCATATCTAGGTCGAGAATGAATTAGACTATAATTTGCTTTTCTAGATCAGATAGTCGACGTGACTTTGGAATTTAATTGCCTTGCGACTGAATGCCTTGCTGCCGGCGCTATAGCATTATATGCCTAACTTGGTAGATCTCTGCAGTGCGTCGGAGCTTTAATTTTAGGTTATTTTGAAAGGCCTAATAGTTAAGAAGGATCCTACCCTTAATATTAGTGTCTGACACATTTCGTGGTTGAGAATTAATTAATTAGATAGGGATGATATAAGTTAAGGGATTTTTATCACGCATGCTTGCTTGCTATGCAAGCTTATTATATATGTTATAAATAATCTTTTGCAAAAGTTGTTAAAAAAAAAACTCTAGATATATTATATATTATATAATAAATCCTATAGTAAATTGCAAGCTATTTTAGTTTTAAATTGTATTTTTAAGAATTTCTTATTAATGTTATGTCTTAAGGTATACCTACTAGGAAAATTTGAAGTGTTTTACTCGCTTGCCTATTTCACTCGCTATGCACATATGTTATATTTTATCCCCGAACCACGCTAGACCCTAGAACAAAAAACTAGTTCGGCTAGGAACTTACAATACTAGAGGCCTTTATCGGGGTCATGGGTCAATCCATGATAATATCATGGAAGAGTCTTCGAATAAAAGGCGTATATAAAGACTTTTCTCTCAGCTCTTCAGGTTCTCCACGTTTTCTCTCTACCCCATATTCCACTTGTCGCCTTCCACTAAATGCAACATAAACTACGCTAAGGAAGAGTGTGGAGGAGCAGCACCACGAGTCAGCTGCGATTGACGATCACCTTGCGCGTCTAGGCAATCAAGATGAACATGAGCTTGGAAAACTCGAGTCTCTTCGCCGTTACCCTAAAGCTTGCGCATGGTTCATCTTTGCCGTGTGGTATGTCCTGCTTGTGAGTTTTGAGAACCAAGCGTCTGGCAACGTTCTTGGAATTCCGCGTTTCCGAGAGGACTTTGGTTATCTTCAGGATGATGGCACGTTTGTCTTGCATGTGAACTGGCAATCCGCGTTTAGTGGTGCGCCAATGGCTTCGTAAGTACATTCTACCCGGTACTTATTGAGAGTTACGAGAAATTGACTTTAGCTCAGAGCCATTATCGGTTGCCTCGGTGGCGGGTACCTTGCTGATAAGTTTGGTCGAAAAGTTATGTTCCACGCCGCGCTCGTCGTCAGCTATGCCGCCATCACAATGGAGTTTGTAGCTATTACAAACGAGATCTTCTTTGGGGGCAAATTCCTGAACGGGTTTGCCACCGGCTGCATCGCTACGGTTTGCGTCAGCTACATCGGAGAGGTATGTTGATTGGAGCTCTTCTGAGCGTTGTTTTCCCAAAGACAGTGACTGACAGCAGTAGGTTGCTCCCCTAGCATTCCGAGGTATCGCTACTTGCCTGGTCGGTTTCTCGTACACTCTAGGACCTCTCATCTCAGCTCTGATCGTTAAATACACCGGAACATACGAAGACCGATGGGCTTATCGAGCTGTCTTCTGCGCCCAATACGGATTCGCCGCCATCGCTACACCCTTCATGTTCTTCATGCCCGAATCGCCCTGGTGGCTCATGACGCAGAACCGCGAGGAGGCCGCTCTGAAGAGTCTTGAGAAGCTGGGATACACTGGCGAGAATGGCTTCAAGCGACTCTCCCTCATCAAGAACACCCTGGAGAAGGTCCGAGCCCAAACCGAAGGTGTAACATATATCGAGTGTTTCCGTGCTACTAATCTGCGACGCACCTTGATCAGCATTGCGCCCAAGTGCATGCAGGCCTTCTCTGGAATCACTTTTGCTTCGAGCTACGCCACGTACTACATGCAACTTGCTGGCTTCAGTGCCCAGAAGAGCTTCACTCTTCACATTGTGCAGCAAGTCGTCTCCATGTTCGGAAGTGTCTTGTCGTGGTATTGCGTTGATCGTGTCGGTCGACGAAACTTGACCTTCTATGGCCTCCTTTCTCTTACTTGCATATTGTTTGCTATGGGAGGCTGCGCAACTGCTGACACCAACACGCGTGCAGTTGAGGCGACAGTGGAATTTATCATCCTCTACTGCTGGGTGTACAATCTGTCAATCGGCGCAGTCGCGTTCACTGTCCTGGCCGAGGTCTCCACCTCGCGTCTTCGCGCCAAGACAGTTGGAATTGGTTTGGCTGTTGTCAACGGCCTCAACATGATGTGGAGTTTGGTCCTTCCATATCTCTTCAACCCTGATAAGGCGAGTCTCCAGGCCAAGGTTGCGTTTATCTTTGGAGGCTGCAGTGTCCTCTGCCTGATATATCTGTGGTTTGAGCTTCCAGAGACTGCTGGGCGTACCTTCGAGGAGCTTGACGAGATGTTCATGAAGAAAGTCCCTGCTCGTAAATTCAAGAACTATCGCCCGGAGGCCCAGGTGCAGGGCGAGAAAGCAGCTGAGGAGCTGTAGGGGGTGCAGTGAACGGTACCACCGTTTCTCGTATCTAGAGACCTACCCCTATTAGTTATCCTAGCATAGTTTGCGCGATATACCTACGAGTAGCATAGTTTTGTTCACACTTCCTCAATAGCATCTTTCGTCCTCTTGTGACATACGTTTTCAATGTAGCTCCAAAGGTACTCGAGTGCCATATCCTAGGCTTCCTAGCTTTACGCAGTTGTCGAACTTTTATTGCAACCATGTTTGTGATCATTCTGCCGGCACAGGTCTAATAGAACTCAAAAGTACTTCAGTGACCATTATGCTAGATGTGTATACAGAGGGCCAGACAGCGAACATGGTTCACGCTTGAAATCGAGTTTGATTACTATCTTCGCACATGTTCTTGTTAGAATGGACCCAAATTGACATATGTCAAGGCGTGATTATTCTTCAACCGAATCTCGGAACGCTTCGACCATCCCTGTGCATCAGTTGTTTAGGTCAACTGTCACCCTTCTCCGGGCTCAGATCATCATAAAACATGAACTGGCGGCTCCCCCGGTCTGGAGACATGGGGTTTCTCCACGTGGTGGTGGTGCGATAAGCGGAGTCCCCGCTGGGGAAGAAAGGTCAGGCGGAATGCAAAATGGACAGAACTTGGGGGATAAAGGATCATAGCTGGGGGCAGAAATTGCCATGTCCGTCATAGTTTAGTCATGAACCCGACTAATTCCTCAAAGTCGGAGGTGTGTGGGGGCACGGAAATGCCCGGTTCACTATGGGACTTGGCTGAACGGAGTGATGGCTACAGTTACTTCTTTGAGATACATCAAGTTACCTATTTGCAGCTCTTCCGTAAAACCTTACAATTCCCTTTAGGTAATAAGTAGCATATTGATCTTGGACCTGTGCATGCTCCTGTCCTACCTTTAACTTTGCATCTTTCTTTTGTTCCCCTTCAATGAGCCGTATACTGGTTTGCCATCAGTAGCAATCATGGCGCCGAGCTCTATGGCCAACAGCCTAACAAGGCTACAGCAATTTCAAAGCAAGCCCCGAATCTTTATCCTCTCAGACGTATCCAACGAGCCCGACGATGCCGAGTCGCTTGTCCGATATTTTACCTACGCGAACCAATTCATCACTGAAGGTATTGTACCGGTAACTTCAGTGTGGTTACAAGACAGGACATGCCCAGAGGAAATGCATAGAATTGTGGATGGATATGCGGCTGCGGTGGATAACTTGAACGCTCATGTTCATCCATCGCACACATATCCTTCAGCGGACCATATAAGAAGTCTGATAAGGCCAGGGGCTCCTGTAAGTTGTCATTGATCGGAGGTAGGAAAGAGGAACTATGCTGATATCGTACAGATGTACGGCATGGAGGCAGTAGGCGACGATGTCCCACTAAGCGAAGGCGGAAAGCTCCTCAAAGCACGAATAGAGGCATCGAAAGACCTCTCTGAACCGCTATGGGTTTTGGCTTGGGGTGGTACAAATGTACTGGCGCAAGCCCTGTACAAGGTTCGACAAGAGTACGACGCGACGACAATGGCCACACTAGTTTCTAGGATACGCGTTTACGCCATCTCCGATCAAGACGATTCTTCGGCGTGGATTCGAACACAGTTTTCCGACCTATTCTACATATCTTCCATCCATGCATGGAACCAATACGGTCTAGCAACCTGGGCCGGTATCTCTGGTGAAAACCATTATGGATTCGACGAGGGCGGCCCAGACTCTACCAAGATCAGCAAGACGTGGGTTAAGGACAACATACAGATTGGTCCTTTGGGCTCAACTTATCCGGATCCAGAGTTTGTCTTTGAGGGCGATACACCAACCTTCCTCTATCTGATACAAAACGGACTTGGCTCTCGAGAAAACCCAAACTTCGGATCGTGGGGCGGACGATATGCGAAGACAGATCCGAGCAACCGCATCAATCACTACGGTGATGTTGCGGATAGAGTTAAGGGCCTTGATGGCAAGATGTATAAATCTAACCAAGCGACGATTTGGCGCTGGAGAGACGCATTTCAGAACGATTTCGCTGCCAGGATTCAATGGTCCATGACTAAGGGTTTTTCCAAGGCAAACCACCATCCTGTTGTAGCTATTGGCGAAGACTTCAGCCCCGAACCGGTCCAAGTAGAAGTTCAAGCTGGCCAATCTATTGTTCTCGATGCTTCACGATCTTATGATCCCGATGGAGATGAGTTAACATTTCGATGGTTTCAATACAAGGAGCCAAGTATCGACGTGTGGAGTGCACACAAGTATGCTGCAAAGGCTGAGATCAAGAATCTCAACGAGCAACACACAAAGATTGAGATCTCGATTCCCTCGGCGGATGTTTCGTGTGTTGAGTTCAAGACGCGTCGGCCCCTTGATAAAGAGCAGGTGATACATGTGATATTGGAGGTTAGGGATAACGGTATACCACAACTCGTCACGTATCGTCGGGTTCTTATACAAGCTGTGAGGCAGATATAAGAACACTGTCTCTAAAATAGACGTGTCTAAGTCGGGCAAGACACTTGGCTATCCATTCTTTGCTGTCATTCATGTCATGTCCTTGGCAAACAATGCCATGAGAAAGTACCAAATGGGGCGAGATATACAAATCACAGAGAGTGGCGAGAGTGCATTTTAAACGCCTTATTTAATGAATATCACAGAGAAAGCCAGTCAAGGCAGAGGTATTGAGCTGGCGATGAATCCGACCCTGAAGTGCAGTAAAAAGAACATCATCTTATCCGCCGGAAGACAATTTCAGATTGTCTTGCTTGTCAAGGATATCGGCAAGGCGATATAAGGTTAAAGGGCAAAAGGAAGTCTCTCATGATGTTGCTGTTGACCGTTCCGAGATCACAGACGAGATTTTAGAGTAGTGTGTGCAAAGTCGCACTTTGTACAGTATTGTACATGTATACCTTCCTCTTCGCAATAACATCCTCTTTGTAAGCTGTGGGGTAGAGACCTCGAGGTATATATCTCTACTTTTTAAGTGGGTCGTTTGTCTATTTTAGGACATAAAAATGCCTCTGAGTCATTTTTTGGCTCTGAGACGAGCATACTTGTTAGTAGCTTTAAGTACGGGGATTAGTCCTAAATCGGCGCTGCTTTTGACAGTGCAGGTCAGCTCGGTCGCTACTTACTGTAAGCTGCCAGAATACATGAGTTCTCTACCTGTCACAGTCTGCACATGCCTGTATCTAGTGAAATTGGCTGAAATTATTGGTACTGTGTGGAGACACCAACAATGGGTGATAATGTTGTAAAAAAGGAAGCTGCGATTGTTCACCACTATAACAATAGGAAGTGTTGGTACATTTATCACCATAAAGAAATAGGTGGAAGCTCATGTATCTCTTCTTTGGCGCATTATAATTGGCCCCACCCTGCAGATACCTCGGTGCAGGCTTATGGGCGCTCATGAGATAGTATCGAGCACTAGCAGCTTCCCCTTTCATAATATGCTCACAATCTAAAAACGGTCCCCACACAATAGGTTTTGGGGCATGGTACTTACTGTCTGTACCCAGCGGGTTTCGTAGGCGCTATCTAGGTGTCTGACTGAGCGTGTTTAAAGGTTTAAAGTGAATGTGATGAGCAGCAGCAGCAAATGTGTTGATTGATTGTTGTTGGGTTGTCCCTCATGCCGGGTATTTCATCTCACAGAGTTACCTAAAGCATACAGCTTACATTACTAATGCAGTTGATTCCTAAGGCCGTGAGGATCATGCCTACCCTGCGACACTAGGTCTCGAGGTATGCATGATGCGGAGCTAAAGAATTGCTTGCGTGCGAACTCCACGACCAAAAATGAACCTCATATCTGCTTACGAAGTATCTTTCTGTACTTGAAAGTCCCCACGATTGGCTGAACAAAGAGAGCATGATTGAGAAGAGGAGGCTGAGCCTGTTCAGCACTGTAGAATCGAGAGAACTCAACTCAATAAACAGCCGGATGTCGGCATTTAGAGATAACCCTAAATCATACAGTGGGTTGCAATAAATTTGAATACATCGGCAGGTATCTCGGCCCGGGCTAATCCGATCGGGTCCGTGTTTAAGATTCAGCTTTTTCTTCTTCCTCCTCCACATACATATTCCAACATTTGATAATGCCTCACGATGCCTTGAGGCAAGGAACTTATGCCGTTATTACGGCCACAAATATGTTAATTAAAGAGGCAAGGTTATTCTTATGGCCAAATTCATAAGCCTTTCCCCCATATAAGTGATACCGCTGTTCTAATTGACCTTGTTAGGTCGAAGTTGCAACATTAAAGCGGCAATATAACGACCGCCCGTTATGGCTAACCTTGATAATCGGTACCTCTAGGTGTATTCAAACTTATTGCACCCTAATGTATACTCTTCGCGTCAGCTTTTTATCCCGCTCTTGTGGGCAAAAGCATCCATCAAAAATTGGTTGTGGGCCGCTCGACGGAAAGGGTACCAGCGTCGGCAAATGCCTGGCGTCCCATATCCGCCAAGCGCTCCGGGGTGGCATCATCTTTATCATAGGTGTCCGTAGGTAGGTAGGTAAGTTAGTTATCTTTCCCCGCATCTCCAGGTGTCCTTGCCCATATCTTGGTCACGTTTAGTATTGGCTTTTCTTATCAGCGCTGTCGCGGCAATTCGGATACAGATAGAGCATGATTGAGATCTGGACATCTCCAATTCACGGCCTGAGGCGATTATGGTGATATCTTAATAGTAGCGCTCAAACTATCGATTTCGCAAGAATCTTACCTGCAATCATCTGCCATCCTATTGTTTCTGCTCTTCTGCATCACGTTCTGCAAATATGTACGCGGACATCAGCAAGCCCCCAACCCCTCTTCCATCCATCAAGCTCGAAGTGCTAAGACCCGGTCTGTCCTTGCTGTGGCCATTGTCTCGGCGGGGTCATGGTCCTGGCCTCATTATCCTCAGCACTACCAGTGAAGACCCCGTAGCTTTCTACGATGGAGTCCCTTCGTCGCTGGTGAAGTGGGCGGAAGAAGGCTACGCGGTCGTCCAGATTGAGGCAGCGGCATTTGAAGGAAAAGAAAGCGGGGTCGTGCTTAGAGAAGCTATCGATGCACTGCGACAATGCGACAAGTGTGAGCTCGACGACAAAGTAGGCTTGGTTTGTACGCTGTCACCAATTCCAACTTTGAAAATTTTCCCTTTTAAGGCTTTCTCAGCATACGACTCATAACATTCAGCTTACCTGGTATCCTGCCTACTTTTCAAAAGGCAGAGATCCTATTTACCGCCGTCGTTAATATCCGGGGTGATCGACTTTACCACAAGCATATTGCGTAGGACCAGGGCACTGCTCTCCGACAGCTCGGTCTTATGCCTGAATACCTACCGTTCCCGTACCCTGTACCGAATGCGGCGGGAGGTCCCGGTACTAAGTATGAATACCGTGTTCCTATGGCCGGAATCGAAGCTGCAACCAAGATGCGGGACAGGAATGGGGTGCCATCGAACGAGATGTTTAATTTCAAGGTCGGAGAGGTCCAGAATGGCTCTAAGACCCGCAAGACAGAGGTTCTAATTGAGAACGTGGAAAATATAACAACTGATAGTGTTGTTTAATAGTTAATTGAAGCTATGAATACTTGATCAACTTAATGACACTTAGTCGAAGAGTATCTCATAGATGTATGATGTGCAAATTTAATTACGCATTGTATGTAATCATATGGGTGGCTTAGTGAATCAATAAATTCAGTTAAATCCTACATTTAGGAAAACAGGCAAAAAGAGTGCGGGTTTGCGGCTGCGCCTCTGCAGATACAGCCGTGCTGACGATCCCACTGGTTATTTTTCTGGCCGCTACATACACCTGACAAACATTTTGCCCAGATTTCATACCAAACATGACTGATGATGACTTGTTTAGATCAGCTCAGTGACGCTTCGTGCGGGTTACCTGTAACGGAACCTTAAAAACCCCATCAAAAGCGATAAAAAACTCAGGCGGAATGCGACTCCTCCGTTGTATCGACTTCTTCGCATCATCGTATTCATGCTAGGTCCGCTTGTAGCCCAAAACCCATTCCCCCCAGGAGGCGGCAGTTGTAAGCAAGGTTCGACTACAGACGCGGCCCAGAAACATCCAAGGAAGAGGAACAGCCAGAGGCGTGTAGGCGCTAGGAAGAAATACCAAGAGCTGGAAAGAGCTGGGTTTGCAATCGGCAGCTTTGCAGTCATCCAGGTACCCAAAGAAGATTCTGAAGAATTGTTGTTCGTTCTCATACGACTCGGGAGTTTGGTGGAGGCCAACGACCAGATCACGGCCTTGGCTGGCGTTCTCAAAGCGGTGGTAGCTATCAGCCTTTGCCGAGACGATGACTTATCCATCTGGGTCGTCGGACAAGATGGCAGATGGCTTTGTGTCAATTCCGCGGTAAAGGCGACCTTTGCCAGAGTGGACGTGAAAGAATTCATCCTAGTAAATGTGGTAATAGAATGGTGGTTCAATAATAGAGACACCATTTTTTTAGTTAGTGAGCGGGATTCGATGCATCATAATGTAATGAGAGCCGGGCTCTGAGGTCACAGAAGATCGCCCAGCTTCGCATATGATTGGATTGCTTTGAAATTTTGTGTTCGTGGTGGCCTAGCCGCTTAAGAACAACATTATAGTGATGGTGGTGGAAGATAACCCTGCAAACGGAATCTTGAAAAATGGCTGACACTTGATCAACACTGAATGCAACAGGGCAGCAATTGACGTAGGTACACTCAATAATGGAATCGGACCCTCGAGGAGTGACATCGCTTTTTCTAAAGTTCTGTACAGTAATAGTAGGTGCGTACGGCGTACGCGAAATGCTCACACATGACAAATGTCTTATTAAACATGAACAAGTTAAATTTTCATCATGATATTACAAATCAGATTCTCCAAGCTCCAAAAGGTGGTTTCTTGGGGATGGTGAGTAGGATGATGCTCAATTCGTCTAGGACCCCCTCGATACTTCGAATTGCCTACTATACACCCTACCATGCTGGGAGAGCTTACAGAGTACTGTTCTAAATCTGAAATCTAGACGTCAATTGACGCTGTCCAATGAGGCAGCAAGTATTTAACCTCTATAGCAACGAAATTGTTAAACCTTCAAGGTGCCAGTCTGCCCTCCCTTGATGCATTCATCAACCTCTCGTCCCTGGTTCAAGATGCTCTGCTCATTCGGAGGAATAAACTGCACGCATCTCCCAAATTGATCACATTCGCCCTCATCAAGACCAACGGAACATTTGCTTCCTGCATTCCCAAAAACCGCACTTCCCGCTCCAGTAACGAAGTCGCGAAACCCGCCATTTTGACGACGAATCGAGGCTGCCATGAGGGTTGGCATGAAGTCACAAACGATGAATGGGGCCAGGGGAGGGCCAATCTTACCTGCATTAGCATGGCCTATCGTGAAGAAGGTAATAGTGAGGAAAAATGTGGGGAGCTGCATGTTGATGAGTGTAGTTGTGTATATAGGCTGCGTGAAGTTGGCGAGGAAGTAACGAGGCAATCGAGTGATGAGCAGTTGTAATATGTCTGGATCCTGCGATAAGTGTTTTAATCAGTGATTTCGAGTGCGCAGTTAGGTATGTTTATACTTGGTTCGTAGATATAACACAGAAGCGTTATATTCCTCTCTTCCCTAGTTATTTATGATACTCTTTAAGAAAAAGTGGCTTCGCAGGCCTTACGTCGCAAAATTCGTTACAAGTTCTAACAGCCTGGTTTGATTTAGGCTAGTAAAGCCATCACAGTTACACAGAGCGTTTCAGCTAGGCTGTTTGAGCTTGCTTCCTTCTTGGCATAATGAGAACGAGGCGCGGCAGATGGTAGCACTAACGTTTGGGTTGTTCCAGGTCTAGAGTTAAGACGGCATTGAAACAGCCCCTACATGGAAGAGGGCCTAAGTGGCTGAGGGGCCCGGAAAGATACTGCGTTTTAAAACCCAGTTAGGGACCCGTTGCTTGTTAGAGCTTACGTAAAACTAGGCTGGTTTGTAAAAGGTAAGGGCTTTTTAATACAGTATAAACCCTTATAAGAGTGAATTTTCACATTTTTAAAAAGAGCTCTAAGCTGAGTCTAGCCGGTAACAGCTTGTATTTTAAATATTTTAATACAAATATTACCTTGGTGCTTGCCTGAGTCTAAGTACTCATATGCCTGTCTAACCTCTTCAATTTAAACATTTTCTCGTCAATAACCGGTCGAAGCTTGTCTAGGTAACCCTCGATGGCTTGCATCATATCCTCCATCTCTGCTTTGGTCCCAACTCTAATACTTCGGGTGGTGCAGAGATGCCAGAGGTTCTCGAGATGGGTCGGAACACCCTCTGTCACATCGTATGATTAAGAACGCTCTGACACACGGGCTGTCTGACCAAGAAAGAGCAAACCTGGATAAAACAGGTCGTGAAGAACACTCCGTCATAGCTGAAGAATACGAGGGATCCAAGGAAGGATAAAACAAACCAGCTTCAGTCACTCATTCAGTTGGGAATCAGGAGCTTCAATGCATAGTCCAAATCCCTCGTCAAATGTGACATCAGGTATAAGGATTACCTTGACCTGATTAAATTTGTAGCTCTTCCTGGCCTTGCCGTCGTTGCCCTTATCCCGGGCCAATTCCTCATCGATATCACTGTGCTTGCGAGACGTGACTTTGGCCCGGTGGCCTTGGTTAGGGAGGCTACAGAGGTTTGACGAGGAGAATATGTTATGCATAAATACATGATATATCGCTTCGGGCAGCACATTTGCTAGGGTAACGACAACAGCTTAGGTCGAGCTCAACGCGATAGGTTTGTCTTCCTTAGCTTTCATGTGCTCTGAGATCGCTTGGATGTCTCTTTGGGCAAAAGCTCGATGCCAAGGGCGCCGGAGGGCAGATCCCAAATAGACCAAGTTCACCGAATAAAGCAGCCGCATTAGGCGATAACCTAGATCTTAAAACCCACTGAAATTGACATAGCGAACCCTACACTCATCTACGGAAAGATGAGATCCAGGGTTGAAAAGCTCGGCTGAGACTGATTATATATGGTCAGACTACTCTTCCACTCCTTGGAAGACCTTTGACAGGTTAGCCTCATCGACCTCATCGAGCCTGGTCTGGTCGAGGGAACGAAGACGGCGGTGGATCAACTGAAACCTCCAGTACGGCATGAACTTGATGAGTGAGTGTACGGGGCGTTGATCCCCTAATTTAGGAGCCTTCCAGTGACTTTCGAGCTCTATTCTCTTGTGTATCTCTATGTAGATAGGCATGCCTAGCCACATGTAAATCTGAGAGTAAGAAATCCCTTCCCAAGCTAGGATCCTTGACTGGTCTGAAAGCTCTGTATTTCAGCTATCAGCAATATTATTTTCAATAAGATGAGAAACCCAGCTATCGGTATATTTAATCCACTTCTAAAGGAGCTATTTAGGTATAAAAAGCTGGAATAACTCTTATGGTGTTAAAGGCAAGGCGTTGATATGAAAATCGCGATGTTGTATATTGGAAGGATAAAAAGTAAAGCTGCGGCTCCTATCTTAGGTTTAATAATTTCTTATATTCTTTTTTATTTATAGCTATAGTAACTAACTAATATATTTCTTAAATTATATTTTAGTAGTTTATAGCCTATTAGGCCTGAAATATAATAGCTTTAATAAGGGCTTACTAAAGGTTATTTATTTTAGTTATTATATTAATTATCTACTAATAAAGCTAAGTAATCTTAGAGTTAGTATTACTTTTAGAATTATTTATATCCTAATTATTATTAATAGGTATTAAAGTAATAAGAGGTATAATATATTATTATATAAAGTTAATATAAGTATTTATTATATTTATATTACTTAATATTATATAATATAATCTAAATAAAAGCTATTAATATATAATAATTAGGTCTAATTATATTATACTAAGCTATATTAGATTTATTATTAGTAAATTATATAAAATATATAATTAAGCTTATTAAAGTAATATATCTTTTAATAGTAAGTTTAATATAAGTTAAGCTTAATTAATAAAAAGAAGTTTTATTAATAGTTAATAAATTAGAATTTATAAAAGTATTAATAAATATAATTTATATATTATAAGTAATTTATTAGGATTACTAAGGTAGTTAAATTATAATAATTATAAATTATAATAATTCCTAGAGTATTATAATCTTATTATTATAACCTTAGTAATTATATTATATATATCTTATAATTTTCCCTACTTAACCTATTAACTAAGGAAGGATTAATACTTATAAGACTAATAATATCCTAGGATTATATTACTTTAGGATTAATAATAACCTTATATTATATTACTCTTATAGAATTATATTTCTCTGGATTTAATATCTAGAGAAGGATCTCCTTAATTTAAACTACTGCCTTTTTACTAACTTTACTTTATTTATTCTTATATATAAGGTTAATTAGTTATATGCCTTATTATATATATTTAATTAATAAAGGCTAGTTATAACTTTAAGTTAATTTAACTTTTACTAACTAACTTATATAAAAGTTAACCTAATTTCTTTAACTTTTTAATAATAAAACCCTGCCTTTACCTTATATTTATTTAACTTTATATATAGACTTCTTATCCCTATACTCTTATAGTTTAAGACTATAATTAGGCTATTATTAATTCAGAAGTAGCTCCCCCTTAATAGTAATAACCCTTTTAAATATATTAAAGAGCTACTTTTTATATATAACTAAGTTACCTATAAAGGCAGTAAGAAAGGCTGCCTAATTTAACTAAAGGTAATAACCTTCCCTTAGGCCTCTTTTTAAATCCTTAAGACCTAATAGCTTAAAATTAACCTAGTTTAAATTAATTAAACTAATATAATATCTCTAATTTATATAATTAATTAGCTAAATTAAGTTATAATTAAAGATAGCTATTTTAATAAGGTTAAATTTATATCTTAATAAGAAGTTCTTTTTAATAATAATTATTATTATATAAACCTTTTTAAGTTCTTTTTTATTAGTTATATCTAAGGCAGGCCTAATAGCTAAATTAAGGTTATAATTAATTATATAATAGATATAATTATATAACTATAGGCTATTTTATATAATAGGTATTAAGGTAGTATAGCTATTATATTATTAATAAGAAGGGTTAAAAGCCAGGTTAAGAAACTTACTTAAGTATAATAAATAAACTAGGTATAATATTCCTTTAGGTAAGATAAAAGAAAAAGGGTAACCTAGCTGCTAAGAGCTAGTATTAATACTACCTAGTTAAGGCAGTAATTATATTATTAAGGCAGATAAACCTTATATAATTTTAAATTTTATAATAATAGCCTGCTATAGGGGTCTTATTATTTAAGTATTTATAGAAAAGTTAAAAAGCTTAATAGCCTTATATAAGGGTAATAATAAAAGGGAAAAAAAAGAAATATTATTTTAATACCTTTCTTATTATTATTAATTTTAAGAGTTTTCTTAGTTATTATTATTTTATTACTAATTAAGGTAATAAGAATTAAAGTTATTTTCTTTTTTATAATTAGCTTTTTTTTTTTTATTTATATTACCTTTTATTAATCTTAATTATAATTATAATATATACTATTAGGCCTTTTTTAAGTCTATTAGCTTAATATAATTTACCTTTAACTTCTTTTTTTAATCCTTTATAATAGATTTTTATTAAGGCTTTATTATTTTATTTAGTTTTTAATATATGTTACTTAAACTTAGTAAAGTAAATTATATAAGACTTAGTTTATTTAAGTATTAATAGCTTTATTATAGCTTATTATTTTTTATTAATTACTTTAAAGTTATCTTTAAGGGCTTATTTAAAGTTAATTTAATTAATAAAGATATTTTAAGTATTTTAATCTTAAGGGTACTTTTTATTTTCTAAGAAGTCCCTTATAATAAGTTCTTATTATTTCTTAGTATCTCTTTAAATTAATAATAAAATATATAATACTTTTCTAATAATATTATTTAATTAGTTTAAGAATAAGTAAAAGTATATTTTTATTTAAGTTAGGAATAGAATTATATTAGCTGCCTTCCTAGTAAAAGGTTTTAACTTAAGAGGCTTTAATACTTTTCTAATATCTCTTTTATATAATCTTCTTATATTAATATTAATAAATATAGTATTCTGCTATTTATTAACTTATATCTATAGGGTATAAATAGTATTATAAAGCTATTAAACCTTAGCTATTATCTTAATATTATTAGGTAATACTTTAATATAAGAAGGTATTAAGGTATTAATATTATTAGATATCTTAATAATATAATATTACTTAGTTATTTAATATAATATATTTTAAATAAAAGCTATTAATATATAATAATTAGGTTTTTAAATAAGTAAACTAATTTATATTAGGTTTATATTTATAAGGTATATAAGGCGCTTTTATATTAAGTATATTATAAGTATTATATCTCTTAATAGTTAATA